GGCTCGAGCCCAAACCTGGCTGCTGTTTCCAGTGCGTTCTGCGCGCGTTTTGGGGAATGGGTTTGAATTTTGCTGGATCTACCGGCCTTATTAAGATTCTCCCTCTATGGCGTACATAAGGAATAATCAATTTGTGTGTAGACTGAAAAAGAGTAATCGTTGAACAGTCATTTTGAATCTCAAGTTTATTTCGATAGTTAAATAATAAAGACCATCAGGTACTTTTAATTCCGAATGTTTTAGTGTTCTTCCCCCTGATTCTGGGAACTATGGCGGCACTTTGTATACACAGAAAAGATGAGGATACTGTAATTGTTTTTACTTAATTGTCAGAATTTAATCTCTAAAGTTTCTTAACTCCTTGGAAACCAGTTTAGTAGAGGAGAGCCGGTGCCCTTGGGTTCTTAACCACCTTCCCTTTCCACAAGTTGGAAAATACTAAACCACTCAGAATTAGTTTATAGGCTCATGCTTGAAGACGCTTTGTCAAAAAGGAAGGATTCTGCTACTCTCTGTAGGACTCTGGAAAAATTAAATCATGAATCTTGGTTTTTTTTTTCCTTTAAATAAAGAAATTAGGCTATGGTCGTAGTTTCTAAAGTTTTGTTTTATTGTTTTTTTATGAGCTTTGTGCATAAAAACTATTCATTTACGAACTTTTGTTGTTTAGAGAATTCTTTCTCGTTTTCAAAACAGTTTGGATCTATATTCTCAAAGGCTTTCCCTTTTCTATTTCAAACGAATATCTGAATTAAATTACTCTGAAGAGTAAATGTAGGGTGAATGCAAGCCACTGTTAGGTTCATTCAGAATTTTTTAAATTCTAAATTGATTATCTTGGTGGTATCTAATCCAGTTTTTGTTTTTTGGTTTTAGTATGTCTTGTCTTAAAAGTCGGGGTGGGGGGCAGGACCCTGAGACTGTGTTTCTGTTAGCTTAATTTTAAAATGAAAGAGTTATATTTGTAGTTATGTGGAATTTCAAAATCCCTGAACACTTAGAGCAGCTAGCTATTCTCAAAGTATAGAAAATCCTGGAGGAAAAGAAGGTTAAAATCTGCCAGGTTAAAATTATGTTATTATACTAATAAAGCATTTTTTTAATGCATTCTCTCCTAAACATACAGTGGAGTATTCCACAGGTTACATGATAGATGTTATATCACAACAGATTGAAGACAGAAACACCCATAATAGTCTTTTGTTAAGCTACACATTTAAAAGATTTTGCAAAAAATGTAGGAGTGCCACTCTTAACCTTTTTTAGAAGGTTTTTTCTATAAAAATGCTACTGTGTCAATGTATAATGGGTTTATTACATTATTGATCATCATGCTATTTTGTTTTAATATTTCATCATTTAAAATCAGAATTGCTAGTAAGCATAAGAGCAGTGTACCCTCAATTATTAGCTATTATTTTTGATGTTTGTTAACATTTTGCTTGTTTATATGTTTCCTTATCATAGTCTTATTAGAGTGACAAAACTACAGAGGAATAGATATATTTTTCACTAGTCAATTTCTTCCTATGTAGTTTCAAAATTTGTTAAATCTTAAGCAACTTACATAGCGTGTTTCTGAATAACAAAGAAGAAAGCTTAAGTTTGATTCTAGATCTAAAGGTGACATTTACAACAGGTATTGGCAATGATCTAGAACTGATAATTGACAAAATAAGCATTTCTAACTAACATTTTGTTAATGAACTACATGGTTTCCCTACACCATAAATTACTGGGAGGGTCATCTGGCATTCCAGGTATTTCCCTGTCTCATGCTGATTGGTGGCTGCTAGGGGGTTGCTATGGGTCCTCACCTAGCCTGACTGAGTCAGGGACACCTGGTGCAGTAGATCTTTTCTCTTATTTGTAACTTAGCTGGGTGGGAATGTGCCTAGGACTCCTCTGTGGGTCTTTCCAAGGACAAAGGTCATGTCCCTTCCTTGGACAGGCTTTGCTCTGAGGTAGAGGCTGATTTTTCATTTCCCCCTTTGTCTGGAAACTTGGGAACCAATCATGGGGAACCATACTTTGAATTGGGCCTTTTCCCAGGCCAGCAATATCTAGTATGATATGCTCTTGTCATTGCTGGGCAGCAGTGGTAAGTAGAAGATCCCATTCAGCCATAATGATCATTATGTTAAACAACCAAGACTCTAAAGTGTGCTGTGTTGGTTAGCGGTGATGTTCAATAAGTTATGTGTATTAAAAGCATTTTCTACTTAGACATTTTCTTTTTTTTTTTTTTAAGAGAGAGTGAGAGGAGAGAGAGAGAGAGAATTTTTAATATTTATTTTTAGTTCTCAGCGGACACAACATCTCTGTTGGTATGTGGTGCTGAGGATCGAACCCGGGTCGCATACATGCCAGGCGAGCGCGCTACCGCTTGAGCCACATCCCCAGCCCCGTACTTAGACATTTTCAAGTTAAGATGGTTTATTGGAACATATAACCTGTTGTAAGTTGAGCATCTGTACTTCTGAGATTGGAAAATCTGAGTGAGAAACTGTTCCTCAGGTTGATTATCCATTAAAGTACAGGTTGTATCTCTTATCCAAGGTGCTTTGGACCAGAAGTGTTTCTTATTTCAGATATTTTTAAAATTTTGAAATATTTGCATATACATAATGAGACATATCTAGGATACAACCCATGTCTAATTGCAGAACTTATTTTTTATATGCACCTGATACACATATCTTGTAATTTTATACAATATTTTTGGTGCACATTAGATGAATGTGGCCTATTACATGAAATCAGGTGTAGTATTTTCCACTTTCAGGCACTCAAAAAGTTTCAGTTTTGGATTTTCAGGTTAGGGATGCTTGACCTAATTTATGTCTCATTACTCAGTAAATAAATAACCTTTTATTAGTAGCTTGACATCCAAAGAGTTATCACAGGGACCATCTTGGGAAAATATAGAAACTTGAATTGTAGAATATAAAACCTTTTAGTTTTCTAAAAATAGCAAAAGGACTTAAAGTCAGTAAACATAATCTAGATATAAATACAACCTCATCTTTATATTCTTAAATCATTAAAACATTTCTCATTGAGTAAGGAAGTTATTTAGGAGAAACGTCAGAAGAATATTAACCAGCAGATCTGCTTTTTGCCTAAAGTGGCATGTTTCCTGCAGTGAGTTATATTGTGCCTTCATAAAGTGTATGCTGTATATTTTTATGTGATTTTTTTTTTTTTTGGATAGTAAGAAAAAGTAACTTATCTATGGTATAGAAAAGCTCTGGTTGAAAATGTGGGTGAGTGATTCTAAATGCAGGTGAAGCTCTCCAACAATCTGATGGGTAAAATGACTAAATCTGATGGGTAAAAATGACTCTTACACATAACATCTGTAAATTCTGGGATTTGAACACTGTGATATTATTGGTCTTCCAAGGGTATGATACAAAGTAAAAATTTTGCCCTAGGTTAGCATTTTTTAAATAGTGTGTGTGTGTGTGTGTGTGTGTTTTTTTAATATTCTTAGTTGTAGATGGACACAATCCCTTTATTTATTTTTTATGTGGTGCTGAGGATCAAACCCAGGGCCTCACACATGTGAGGCAAGTAAGTGCTTTACCACAGAGCCACAACCCCAGCCCTAAATCTTAAGGTGATCCTATACTGAACCAAGTTTGGAAAACAGTAGGTGAACATATTTAAGCAGATTTTACTATTGGGCCTCCCTATTGCCCAGTGGTGGAGCTATTTGTTCACTACCATCTACCTGTCTGCTCTTTCTTTCTAATTTTTTTAAAATATATATTTTTTTAGTTGTAGATGGACACAATACCTTTATTTTATTTGTTATTTTTATGTGATGCTGGGGATCAAACCCAGTACCTCACACATACTAGGTAAGGGCTCTACCACTGAACCACAACCCAGGCCCTCTTTCTAATTTTTTTTTTTTTAAGAAAGAATTTTTTTTTTTTAAAGAGAGAGAGAGAGAGAGGAGAGAGAGAGAGAATTTTTAATATTTATTTTTTTTTTAGTTCTCAGCAGACACAACATCATTGTTGGTATGTGGTGCTGAGGATTGAACCCTGGCCGCACGCATGCCAGACGAGTGCGCTACCGCCTGAGCCACATTCCCAGCCCCTTTATTTTTGTTTTAATTTTTAGTACCGAGATTGAACCCAGAGGTGTATTACCACTGAGCCACATTCTCAGCCCTTTTTATTTTTTATTTTGAGACCAGGTGTCACTAAGTTGCTAAGGGCCTCACTCAGTTGTTGAAGCTGGCCTTGAACTTGTGATCCTGCTACCTCAGCTGACATAGGCATTTGCCACCAGGACCTGCTGCCCTTTCTTTTCTTAGTAGTTGATCCTAAGGCTGAAGTTATTACATTTCCCAGGTTTCCTTGCAATTGGATATGGCCATATGTCCATAGGTTTTCCTATTTGTTACTTTTCATCCTTATTCTAGTGACTTCTGTGTATTTTCTCCAGTACAGTCTGAACTCAGCCAGTTAATAATTTAATCAGACCTCTGATTATGGAGATTATGTAGAATATACTTAAATGTGAAGAATTGTAAAATGTTTAGAAATATATCCAAGATTAATTTGAAAAAACTTCTTCTTTTAAAATTTAAGACATGGAAATTTCTTTCTTTCTCTTTTTTTGTACCAGGGATTGAACTCAGGGGCACTCAACCACTGAGCCACATCCCTAGCCCTGTTTTTTATTTTATTTAGAGACAGGGTCTCACTGAGTTGCTTAGTGCCTTGCTATTGCTGAAGCTGGCTTTGAAATCTCAATCCTCCTTTCTCAGCCTCCAGAGCAGCTGGGATTACAGGCCTGGGCCACCATGCCCAGCTAGGACATGGAAATTTCCATAGCAGTACTTCTTATTCTCTAAGGCTATGTTTTCACTTACATATTTATCTCTCTTCATATACCCATTCTTTTTCATTGTGATAAAGTACAAATAATGGAAAATATATCATTGTAAGTATATAGTTCACTGGCATTAAATACATTCTCATTGTTGTGCAATAATCACCACTGTTTATCTCCAGAATCTTTCATTATCCTAACTCATTTAGTCTTATTTAACTAACCCATTTACTTTTTTAAAAAAAACTTATCTTTATTTTGTTCATTTACCTTTATGTGGTACTAAGGATCAAACCCAGTGCCTCACACATGGACTTGCTATTATACCTTTTATTCAAATTGATTTGTTCTTAAACACAAAAATACAACTTCTGTTGGTCTCTAGAGCTATGCCTTTTCTATATCAGACCTGTTGTCACCATAATGAACCTTGCTGAGGATCTTGTCATTTCTTAAAGATTATCCCTTTTAACAAAATTAATTGAGGATTATATTTTCACCACATGAATTTGGGACAACACATTCAGGGGGAAGAAAGTCTTCTGTGAACCAATAAATTTGACAGTTTCCTAGGCTGAATAGATTTCTTTTTATAGAAGTTAGTATTTCTAACACAATATCAAGTTACGTGTCTTTAAAATGAGAATATACTTTTCTGAATTTATTAGTTCAGTGAATACTTTTTTTGGGGAAGGTACCAGGGATTGAACCCAGGGGCGCTTAACTACATCCCTAGTCCTTTTTGATATTTTATTTAGAGACATCAGTCACTGAGTTCCTTAGGGCTTCGCTACATTGCTAAAGATGGCTTTGAACTTGTGATCCTCCTGCCTCAACCTCCGGAGTCACTGGGATTACAGGCATGAGCCACCACACCTGGCTCAGTGTGTGTGTGTGTGTATTAAACCCAGGCCTTAAGTTTGCTAAGTAAGCCCTCTATCACTGGGCTAAGTTCCCAAGCGCTTTTTATTTTTAATTTGTATGGGGGATTGAATCCAGAGGTGCTCTACCATATCTCTGAGTTACATGCCCAGTCCTTTTATTTTTTATTTTGAGATAGGGTTTCACTGAGTTGCTAAGGGTCTCACTAAATCGATGAGGCTGGCCTCAAAACTTTGGATTCTGTTGCCTCAGCTTCCCAAGTTGCTGGGATTATAGGCATATGCCCCTGGGTCTGGCTTTTTTTTTTTTTTTTTGAGACAGGGTCTCTAAGTTGCTCAGGCTGGCCTCCCAACTTAAAAAAAAATTATTTTTTAGTTGTGAGTGGATACAATACCTTTGTTTTATTTTTACTTGGTGCTGAGGATCGAACCCAGTGCCTTACACATGCTAGGCAAGTGCTCTACCCCTGAGCCCCAGCCCTAGCCCCTGGCCTCCAACTTTGATTCTCCTGCCTAAGCCTCCTGAGTAGCTGGGATAACAGATGAGCCATCACACCCAGTGTTCAGTAAATGAATGCTTTTTTAAGAATGGGATAAAATATAGCTTAGGAAATACTGTTTGAATACTATCCAAAGACTGAAAGTATAAGGAATTTGGCATAATTGGACATCTTAAAACTTTTCAGGATTATGCTATATACCTCTGTATCATTATTACCAGAAAATAAACTTTTATTTGATTTATTTGGGTATGAGAGGGATAGGGGTTTCTGCCACAAGGTTGTACAAACATGTTCCTGTGTAAGTAGCATAACTACTAGCTCTGCCATTTACTTAGTATGACTTGGGATTAGTTACATACCTGTTAGGGCTTCGTTCTTCTCTTCAGTAGAATGGTTATCAGTTGTTCCTGTCCTATAAGGACATTGGGTTTGTGTCTGTGAATGTATATAAAGTCTTTCCTGCTTGCCCAATCACTCTACCCTAGCCTTTTGAGTTGAAAGTTGAAATTCAGAACAGGCTTTTGTCAGTCACTTGTATACAATCAACTTTTGTTACTTATGCTGCTGTTATTTCATATACTCCTAAAATCTCATAACTTTCAAAAACTAAAGATTTCTTTTGGGAGCTGAAGTTGTAGCTCAGTGGTAGAGCACTTGCCTAGCACATGTAAGGCACTGAGTTCAATCCTCAGCACCACATAAAAAAGTAAATTAACTAAATAAAGATTTAAAAAAAATTTTAAAAGATTCCTTTTACATTCTCATTATATAAGTTTGTTTTTTTTTTTTCTGTTGTAGATGGACACAATACCTTTTTATTTATTTATTTTTATGAGGTGCTAAGGATTGAACCCAGTGCCTCCCAGGAAAGTGCTCTGCCACTGAGCCACAGCCCCAGTCCTTATTACATTTTGATTGTAGTCCTGTTCCAGGCTGCAGATTGACACACACACCCCTTTGTCTCTCTGTGACATAGGTTAAGGAACCGCATCCTGCGAGGACATCATCCTAGTTTTTGAGAAAGGGGACAAAGATCAAGGAAGTGATGAGAAATACTAAGTCCTCCTAAAGCTTCTGTTTAGATATGGCACACATCCTATAACTTCATATTCCACTGGCTAAAAACCAAATGTGTGGTCAAATCTGATGTCAGTGGGATGGAGAAGTATTATACTTGAGCTGCATGAAATTGTTTCTGTAGGTCAAAAACAGTTGAATATTTCACATATAGTCATGTATTGATTTACAACAGGGATAAATTCTTGAGAATTGAGGAATTCATTGTTAGGCAATTTCTTGGTTGTATGAACATCACAGAGTGTCTTATGAATCTAGATGGTATATCCTATGGCATACCTAGGCCATATTATAATCTTATGTGGATCAAAGTTGATTGAAACCTTTTTATAAAATTTGGTAGTAGGGATTGAACCCAGCAGTGTTTAACTACTGAGCTACAACCCCAACTTTGTTTTTTATTTTGGGACCTGGTCTTGTTAAGTTGCCTGGGACCTTGCTAAGTTGATGAGACTGGCCTTGAACTTGTGGTCCTCCTGTTTCAGCCTCCCAAGTCACTGGAATTATAGGCATGCACCACCACACACCCACCTCTGAAACATCTTTATGTAGTTTATGACTGTAGTTTTTGTCACATGGATGCATTGTAATGCATATGGAGTTGGGTATGGTGATATAATTATCTTATGGTGGAAGAAATGAATAGGAATAAAAAACCTCATATAAGTCACTATCATTTATATCTATTGAAAAAAAAGTATCTAAAGAATTCCACATTCTTTATGGACATGAGTGTGTTTATACACGCAGTTGAACATACATGGTATACACAAATAATGATATATTCTTCAATTTTCAAAAAAAACAATATTAAATTTGACTTATTAATCTTTATTTTTATTGTAGGGATATTAAAGCAAGTCAAAGATTACATTAAACAGTGTAGCAAATGCCAGGAGAAACTAGATCGCTCCAGGCCAATATCAGATGCTTCAGAAATGTTGGAAGAATTGGGGTTAGACCTTGAATCTGGAGAAGAAAGTAATGAATCAGAAGATGACCTGAGCAACTTTACTTCACCTCCATCTACAGCCTCTAGATCTTCAAAAAAGAAGCCAGTTTCCAAACATGAACTTGTATTTGTAAGTGGTACTTTCCATTCAGCTTTAACATTTTTAACTGATGTATTACTGCTTGACTTGGCACTGATGTTGAAGATTTAATAGGTCTTTCTTTATGTCTGAGGTAGAGCTAATTGAATAAGACAAAATGGGTTATATACTATGTTGTTATATAAGCTACAAGTATATTAGTATTGTCTTTTTATTCATTATAAATATTCTTGTTATTCTCCAGAATGAATTTAGTATCCTGTTGATTTGTTGTTAATTCCCCCACTTCACTTCCTTTGTTATGATAATATTGGCACAGGTAGACAGAATACTTTTTGGGAGCAATCTCTGGGTCATGCAGCAAGGTAAAAATTACCTAGCTCAGTTTTTGGATGTAGTTTTCTGGGTTTTTGTTTGTTTTTTGCCTCATGAGTGTTATAAATCACCAAATTTCTGATAAGTAAGAAGAGGTAGCAAGAAGTGAGATATGCATTTTTCTTAGGTTAAGTAGCATAAACATAGTAGAACATAGTGACACCTTTTTGTTTAAATATATAGGTAACAGAGAAAGAATATCAGCTTATTTTTTTCTTAACTGTTAAAACAGTAAAAAGTAAAGATGATTCCTATATACATATATATATATGTAATAGCGTGTGTGTGTGTGTACGTGTGTGTACACATATATATAGTGTTGTGTGTGTTTGTGTGTATAATATGAATAAAATACTACCCCCACCCTGCTCCGGTGCTGGGTGGCTAACCCAGGGCCTTCTACACATTAGGCAACCACGCTACCACTGAGCTATATTTTCATAATACACCTCTTGATATCATCTTATTTTGACAGGTTGATACCAAAGGAGTGGTAAAACGATCTTCTCCAAAACATTGCCAAGCTGTCTTAAAACAACTGAATGAACAGAGACTATCCAATCAGTTCTGTGATGTTACTTTGTTAATTGAAGGAGAAGAGTACAAAGCTCATAAATCTGTTTTGTCTGCTAATAGCGAATATTTTCGAGATCTTTTTATTGAGAAAGGCGCTGTTTCAAGTCATGAAGCTGTGGTAGATCTTTCTGGTAAGAATTTTGTAATTCCTTGGTTTTTATTAATTAGTACATTCCACAAGAGGGTTGTGTGTTTATCTGTGTGTCTTCCAAAAACAGGATTTATACTAAAGTAAAGGCCTATGTATAAAAGCAGACCCTAATCAACTGAAAAATTCCTTCTTTTTAGCAAGGGTTTTAAGATAGAATTAGGAGAAAAGCTTGTATTATCACTGCTTCTTAGTTCAGACAGTTGTACCAGAACTATTATTTCTTGGATTTCAACTGTTGAAAATAGTTTTGGGGGAAATCCACAACTGTATCAATATTATCACATTAAATGAATATGTTGCCTATTTATATTTTGTGGGATATGTGACTGTACATAGAGTATTTCTGTAAGTCTAGTTTTTGCTTTTTAAGATTAATCACTAGGCCAGGCACAGTAGTGCATGCATATAATCCTAGTCACATGGAAGCTGAGATAGGAGGATCTCAAGTTCATGGCCAGCCTCAGCAACTTAAGGAAACACTGTTGAAAAATAAGAAAGGGCCGGAGATGTAATTCGGTGGTAAAATATTCCTGGATTCAGTCCCCAAAAGATTAATCATCAGAATTAAATTGTCAAATAAAAATAAAAATTCCAGATAAGTTTTTTTTGATTATTTTTATTATTATTGTAAGTGAATAGTTCTCCTTTCTTTTGGCCTTGATAGAATATATATATTAGCTTATGAATCAACAGATGAATCTTTGGGAAGAATTAAAACAGGTAACCTCATTTGCACATTTTATCATAATATAAACTTGTTACAGTTTTTATATTATTGGTTTCACTATTTTTGCCTTATATTTTTTAAATGTCTTCTAGGAAGACAAATACAAACATTTTTTCTTAGCAGTAGCTTTATGATTGCATAAAGCAGAAGTTTTCAGTTAAGCATTTATTCTGTGCAAGCAACTAGCCTAAACTCAAGATTATATTCTAGATTTGGTGTCCTCCCTGCTCCCAGGGTTTGGTGACTCAAAGGAGAAAATATGGTCTTTGCTGAACTATCTGAATAATTTAGTTTTCTTTTTATGTATTGTTCAGCAAATGTGATATAAGTCTGTAACAGGTGAATTAGATACTATTTAAAAATATATTATCTACTTAATAAAGATAAAATATATTATATAGACTATATACCGTGTACAGTATAATGTTGGTTTGTGGGGTTTTTTTTTTTTTTTTGGTACCGGGGATTGAACTCAGGGGACTCAAAGACAGGGCTTCACTGAGTTGCATGGCGCTTCACTTTTGCTGAAGATGGCTTTGAACTCAGGATCCTCTTGTCTCAGCCTCCCAGGACACCGGGATCACAGGCATGCGCCATCATACCCAGCTATCTGTTTTTTAATATAGTTAAAGCTAGTTAATGTATTTGAATTTGTCACTGTTTTATGTTCTGTCCCACTCAAGACCATAAAGATATTTTCACATATTGTCTCTTTAAAAGTTTTATAGTTTTTCTTTCACTTTTTAACATCTAATCTATTTGGAATTCACTTTTGTTTGAGATAAGTGTTCATTTTTGCTGTACAAATCACTTGTCTGTGAACCATTTAGTGAAAACTTATTCCTCTACCATTCATTAGTCATGCACATTGTACTATAACACATTTTTATGTTTGAGAATAATTCTAAATCCTCTGTTTTGTTCTTTGGTTTTCTCTTCCTGCACTGTTATTTGGTCTTAATTACTTTAGATATGTAGTAGTAAGAAAAGTCTCCCAATTTTTTTTTTTTTTTGGATACTGAGGATTGAATCCAGATGCAGTTTACCACTGAACCATATCCCCAGCCCTTTTTATTTTTAATTTTGAGACAGAGTCTTACCAAGTTGCTGAGGCTGGCCTTCAATTTGTGATCCTGTCACCTCAGTCTCCCAAGGTGCTGAGATTAGAGGCATGCACCACAGTGTTTTGCTTCCCATCTGTTTTGTTCAGGTGGATCTTAGCAATTCATAACCCTTTGGTATTTCACATAAACTGTAAAGTCAGCTTGTTGATTTCCAGCAAAAAGAAAAGAATGAGTGTATTTTTATGGGGATATATAGAATTAGTAAAGTTTTAGAAATTTATCCATACAGGTGCTATATATCTTTTCTTAGATTTATTCCAAAGTATTTTATACCTTTTGGTTTTATTTTCATGTTTTCTTAAAACTGTATAATTTCCAATTTATTTTTGAATATAGTAGTTTTATATATGGTTCAATTTTGCTTGAAAAGTGCAATTTTTTTTTTTTTTTTTTTTAGTTCAGTGCAGTGTTCAATATATTGTGAATTAGGTCAACTTTGTTAATTTCTTTTCTTTTTCTTTTTGGTATCAGGGACCTAAGCTAGGGGCACATTACCACTGAGCTATAGCCTCCGCCTTTTTTTTTTTTTAATACCTTTATTTTGTTTGTTTATTTTTTTATGTGGTGCCAGGGATCAAACCCAGTGCCTGACGCATGCTAGGCAAGCACTCTACCACTGATCCACAATCCTAGCCCCTCAGCCTTTTTTTAATATTTGATTTAGAGACAGGGTCTCGCTGAGTTGCTTAGGACTTTGCTAAGTTGCTGAGGCTGGCTTTAAACTTATGATCCTTTAGCCTCAGCCTCCTGAGCACCTGGGATTATAGGCTTGTGCCATCAAGCCCAACTTATTTAGTTTGTTTTGTTTTTTTTAAATATTTTTTTAGTTGTTGATGGACTTTATTTTTTTATTCATTTATATTTGGTGCTAAGAATTGAACCCTGTGCTTCACACATGCTAGGCAAGTGCTCTACCCCTGAGCCACAACCCCAGCCCACCAGTTTATCTAGTTTTATAAATCATGATTGTTAAGAATTTTTTTGAAATTCTTTTTGAAAGTAATTCCTTAAGCATATTATTCTGAAAGTAAATCCTTAAGCATATTATAGTATATGCTTCATGTATATCATTATTATTTCATTCCTTAGAACCATTATAAGCAACCTATAGCCTATAGGCCAAAAATCCTTTTCCTTCATAAAGAAAGTGGTATTGGAACACAGCCATATCCATTGTATACATATGATTTTCCAGCTATGACATAAAGGCTGAGCATTTGTAACAGGCAGTTTGGCACTTTATGGCCTACAATATTTATTATTTGATTCTTTTTTTTTTTTCAAAGAGAGAGGGAGAGAGAGAGAGAGAATTTTAATATTTATTTTTTAGTTCTTGGCGGACACAACATCTTTGTTTGTATGTGGTGCTGAGGATCGAACCCAGGCGGCACACATGCCAGGCAAGCGCACTACTGCTTGAGCCACATCCCCAGCCCTATTATTTGATTCTTTTCAGAACATTTTTTGCTAACTCCTGCTTTAGATCTTGCTTTTTATTTTTAGTTGTGGGAACATTTTATTATTATTATTTTTTGTACTGGAGATTGAACCCAGGGGTGCTTTACCACATCTTCAGTGCTTTTTATTTTTTATTTGGAGACAGGGTCTTACTAAGTTGCCTAGGCTGACCTTGAATTTGTGATCTTTGTACCTCAGCCTCCATCAAATGGGATCACAAGGTATATACTACCATGCCCAACTTCAAAAGTTTCTAGGGGCTGGGGATGTGGCTCAAGCGGTAGCGTGCTCGCCTGGCATGCGTGTGGCCTGGGTTCAATCCTCAGCACCACATACAAAAACAAAGATGTTGTGTCTGCCGAAAACTAAAAAATAAATATTAAAATTCTCAAAAAAACAATTTCTGTATGGGCTACTATTATTAACATATAGCTGTACTTACTCGAGGTTAGGGAACAGGTTGGTTGAACCCTGCCTACTTGCCTACCTCTCCCCCCGCTTTTTTTAACCCTCCATTCTCCAGCAGCTGTTTCTTGAATGAAATTTAAGGAACCCCCATGGTTCTAAGGAGTACAGTTTGAAAATGACTGCCGTACAGCATCTCTTGAGGTAGTAAGTCTACTATTTTCTGCGTTAGGTATTAAGAGACTCAGCTCATAGAAGTGACTTAGTCAATGACTTAGCTTAATAAGCAGCCAGAATAGATAGTGAGTCCAGGGGTAATTGCAGAACAAATGGCCATAATTACCTTTTATTATATTTTATATTGTCATAATTCTATATTATTTTTATAGAGTGGTGTAGTTATGATTGACTTTTTTGTCCCCTACCTTTCTTGTCTCATATAGGTTTTTGTAAGGCAAGCTTCCTTCCTTTGCTGGAATTTGCCTATACTTCTGTACTAAGTTTTGACTTCTGTAGCATGGCTGATGTGGCCATTTTAGCTCGTCATCTTTTCATGTCAGAAGTTTTAGAAATTTGTGAAAGTGTACATAAACTAATGGAAGAGAAGCAGTTAACAGTATACAAGAAGGGTGAAGTACAGACAGTTGCATCTACCCAGGACTTATCAGAACAAGGTGGAGGTACAGCACCTCTAGTGGCTAGCAATGAAGGAACCACAACTACTTTATCTAATGAACTTGGGGATTGTGAAATTGTACTACTGGTAAATGGAGACTTGCCAGAAGCTGAGCAGAACGGAGGGCTAGTACGACAGCCTGAGCCCCAAGTTTCTTCTGCACCTGAATCTGCTCTGTCATCTGTAGAATGTATAACTGATTCCCATCCTAAAATGGAGTCTGTTGACTTAGTAACTAAAAACAACCAGTCAGAACTAGAAAATTCAGACATCAGAGAAGATGGCATGGTTTCTAATTTTCATCCTAAACTTTCAAAAGAGAATGTAATCAGTAGCTCTCAAGAGGACAATGATATGGGAAATGACTCATCAATTGAAGAAATCTGTGTTGATGACATTTTGAAACAGAGGCAGAACTTTGATCAACCTTTAAAAGATGAGGAAAATCTAGTTACACCAACAGAAAAGACAGACCCTGGACCTGATGATGATACTTATAGAAGCAGGCTTCGGCAGCGTTCTGTTAATGAAGGGGGGTATGTCCGACTTCACAAAGGCATTGAGAAAAAGCTACAGAAACGTAAAGCCATTCCCAAGTCAGCAGTTCAACAGGTATGATGTAAAAAGGCGTTGTCCTTTGTAGTGTTACCTTTAAGTTGAAAGTGTTCTAATGATGAACTTATCATAAAAATAACTTGGGAAGGGAGATAGGTACAAGACAGCAACTTAATGTTTGAAAAAAACAGTATTAATGAGATAATATGAATTTGAAGTGTTTTGATCAGAAATTTATAGCATGAATCTTGACTTTAGAAACCAAAACATGTATATTTGCTTAGATTGATTTCTATTCCTTAACCAGGTAGCCCAGAAATTGGTTCAAAGAGGGAAAAAGATGAAACAGCCAAAAAGGGACTCTAAGGAGAATGCTGAAGAAGTGTCCCATAAATGCGGGGAATGTGGAATGGTTTTTCAGAGACGGTATGCCTTTATAATGCACACACTGAAACATGAAAGAGCTAGAGAGTACAAATGTCCAGTAAGTATCTGAAAAGCTAACCAAAGATGGCTCTAAACTCATGAATAGAATCCTCCTTACCTTACTTAATGCTTGGTTATTATTTCTACACTGGTACTCTCTCTATATATGTATCTCTTATTTATTTATTTTTTTGGGGGGTATTGGGGATTGAATTCAGGGGTACTCGATCCCTGAGCCACATCCCCAGCTCTATTTTGTATATTTTTTTTAATTTTTAAATTTTTGGTTGTAGTTGGACACAATACCTTGATTTTATTTATTTCTATGTGGTGCCGAAGATTGAACCCATGGCCTCGCATGTGCTAGGCGAGTGCTCTGCCGCTGAGCCACAACCCCAGTCCCCTATTTTGTATTTTATTTAAAGACAGGGTCTCACTGAGTTTCTTAGCACCTTGCTTTTGCTGGAGGCTGGCTTTGAACTTGTGATCCTCTTGCCTCAGCCTCCTGAGCCGCTGGGATTACAGATGTACACTACCGTGCCTGGTGCTATCTTCTCTTACATTGCTATAAGGATCGTCTTCTGATTCATACATTTCTTTTACATGCCCCCCCCCAAATATTCAGTGATTCACCTTTGATTCCACAGTATAAGGGATTCATCAAGACAATAGTGAAAGAAAATCCCAGATGGAGCTATGTACCAAACAATAGGGAACAGCCAGAGCAGGTTAAAATAGAACATAATGCTTTGACAGATTTCTAGTAAGTGATGATGTGTTCTATGGTGAAATTTTTTTTTTTTTTTTTTGGTACTGGG